CATACTATAGTGGTACCGGGTGGTACTGTGAAGGAGCAAGGTCGTACCAGGGTAGCTCGATATCCTCTCATTGTAGGGGTGGCTCAACCTGTTGTAGCAGAGGAGGGTCAGGTAGCTCCCTCCTTTCTTCTCGGCCCTGCTGGGCAGCAATAAGTCTCTCTAGCATCTCAAATATCTGATTAACATCTTCTCTACGCGAGCCATCTCGGGCTACTCAGTTTAGTGGGGGTCTTCCTCTCCTCATCTATCTGTACCTGTATTTCATAAGGAACGGTTGAGTAATAATCCATTATTTTAGTGTTTCCTAGGAATTTTATGTAAGGAATGGGTCCAAGGAACACGACTCTGATACCAACTTTAACGACCCCGGAAATATCCAAATAAAAAATAATAATTAAAGGATATAAGCGTAATAAATGTTCAGGGTTTATATTCCATATACAAATAACTTAAAGTACCAAACAGCGTTACGGAATTCACTGTTTTGAAAGAAACACTTGCAATCCTCCTGCAGATCGGGGTCTAGAACATGTTCCTCTTGATCTGAAATGATTAAATAAGGGATGAGCTACACTATCTCAATAAGGATATCACACTATATCACCAACACAGAAGTAAAGGTTGGTATAAAATAAAAATACTAATGGAGCACTTAATTTAAACCAATATATTTATTAAAAATAAAACCATTTACCATTCACTTACCGTAGTGGGATTCATAAAAATAACCTATGCAGATAATAATATCATATATATCATAATTTCATGTAAAATCAGTAACATAGCACATATCACAAGTCTATATACATCGTCAATAAACCAAACAATAACTGTCACTTTTTTCATCAGCCTACTAGTATCCATGGAGATTCATAGGGATGTCCTCGCTGCACACAAACTATTTCCTTTAACAATCTCAATTACGGGCCGTCCCCATAACCTGTCCGGTACGAGCGCCAAATTATTAAACCTCAATACCTCGTCCGGTATGAGCACTAAATTATCATATCTCCATACCCCGTCCGGTATAAGACAATGTTCACGGTAGGGTTCCTTATGTACCTATTCCGTTCACCATCTCTCAAGATATCCAGTAAGGCTACCATCTTCATTTATTCATTTTCTCACACAACTTTTTCGTTTTCAGTTAGTCTCCATTTTCCAAATCAACTATAATCACATAAGCAAACAAACATGCATCAAGGAATACAATCATATCTCAAATTTTTAACTAAATAGTGGTCACGTAAGGCAGCAATACATGTATTCAAATCATAAAATTAATAAATCAGATATTATCAACAGAGAATAATTTTCGGTTCTGGCTTCATTAGCAGTCCGTAATCAATTATGCATATTTATTAAATTTACACAAAATACTATATTATTATTTATTTATACTTCAATTCTATGATAGGGAATAGGATGAGGGATCCTTACTCAATTTGATATCCGAAAAGTTAAACTGTTAGACTGCACCTACGGGCGATTCTCAGGTTCCCTAAATTTTTCTTTTGAAAAGTAAAACGCGCTAATAATACCTACAAATGTACCAAACAAACCCAAAATCAGTTTCGAGGCCCACTTGGCCAATTCTGAAATTCCAGCATAGCAGCTCCGCCGTGCTCCGATGACGGCACTACTGCCCGCGGTAGCTGTCCACCTCAGGTTGGCTGTTTTTTGCTATTTTTGACCAAATTCATCCGATTCTGTATCGATCCCTGTGAGAAAATACGTTAAAGGGCCTTGGTTGGCCGAAGAAATACAAAAAACCGAAATTCGCCGGCGGCGGCGCTCTCCAGTGCAACGGTTCCTCTGGCTCACGTTGCGGTTGGGTGTTTTGCTCTGGTCAACCTATAAAAAAGGACACGGTGATCACAACAGTGGAAAACTTACGCAAAACGGGAATCGAAAAGGGCATCATAGGAGTTGTTTTGTGAAATTCTCTGCTGCAGCGCCGCTAGGCTTCTCCGGTGTTTTTCGGCCAATTGGCGGTCTTTTTACTCTGATTTGGCCATGGATGTATTTAAAATTGAATTTCGAGCAAAAAAATTTTTTTTTATCTCTTTTGGCGGTCGGACAAAACTCCGGTGGGGCGGCGGGTGGCAGCGGTGTGCTTCCAGCGGCCGGGTCTTCTTATCCGGCGAGAGGGTTTAGCGGCTAGGGTTAGGGTTTGGTGTGGATGAGAGTTATTTATATTCGTCCGTTTTTTATCTGGACCGTCCATCATATTTGATCTGAACTGTACGATCGTGATTAAATAGGGAGAAAGTTAAAGTTTGGTGTGGATGAGAGTTATTTATATATGTCCGCTTTTGATTTGGGTCGTCCATCGCGTTTGATCTAAACCGTCCGATCACAATTAAATAGGGAGTGAATCTGAACCGTCCATCGCGATCCACTTTGAACCGTTTGATCGCGTTCAAATTTGACCTTCTGATCGCGTTTGGGACTGGAGCGCATCTGGGCCGTCCGTGCGCGCGGGAACAAATCTAAGCCTTTCAATCGCGGGCACGCGGATCGCCCTCGTGGCACCACATCAGTGTCTGTTGCCGCGTGGCGCGTCCTGATTCACCGAGTTTGCTGACCGGGCGTCTGACGTGGCGAAATTTTTCTAAATTGCATTTTGACCCATATTTTTCGATTTTTCTTTTAAAAATATCTCAGAACCTAAATTTTCACTCATTTTCTTTAAAATTATTTTCACTTTAATATTCAATCAATTTTACTTCATTTTAATTCTAAATTAAATAAAAATTAAAAAAATTATATTTATAAATTTTAAATTACATACAATTTATTTTGAGGTATTATATATAGATTTAGAAAAATAAAAAATTTACAAGGGTCATTTAAATATGGAAGTATTCTCTCGTTTTATGCAAATTCTTTTTTTTTTTTAATGAAAAAATAAATAAATTTAATTTTTAATTCATTATAATATATTTCGATTAAACAAGTTTCGAGTTGGATTGTAGTTACACATTAACTGAACTACTGTGCAACCCTAGATTGCAACCCAAAACACAAGACAGACCAACTGTACAACCTTCCTACCTTCTCCCTTTGAAACCAACAACCCTCCCTCCACTGTCTCTCATTTTATTGTTTGAATTTATTTTCTCACTTTAACCGAATTCAGAATTTTAATATCAAAATTGAACCCACCTCAACCCAGGACAGGTCTAATAATTGCAAACCCTTTTGCACCATTTTGGTTTTTATGAATGGAATTTTATGTTGGTGGAGGATGAAGCCCTCCTTTCTCACTACAATCCCATAAAGACTACAAAAAGAAAATCTTAATTTCTACTCTGTGTGTGCATATATATATGTATATATGTATATATATAAACTCAACTAATTAATACTCTCTTCTGTTTTGATCAATATGCGATATGCTTCTGTGATAAGCATTAATGAGATTCTTTTCATGAAGTGGTCCAAGACAACTATATATGATAGAGAGAAGCATATTGGTCTATTGAATATCCAAAAATTAATGGCAATGCAAACCCTATTGGTCCCTGTTTAGTATTTCATTGCTGGATCTCTGACTCTGTAGTTAGTCCATTACAAGATTTTTGATGTCTAAATTCTTTTTTTATTCTTTTTTTTTATTAATGGGATGTGATAGATAACCTCTCTTTCATTTGCATTTATTCTTCATCTACCTTCAGTTTCTCATTTACTCTTGCTTCTTCTCCTACCATCTATCAATAACCAATGATTTTATTTTGATATTATACATATATATATATATCTATATATATAATAGGCTGGTGTTCAATTAATTTATCTAACTGAAAATTCATATGGGAATTGTTAGTTTCTTGATAAGAGAATGTGGTGAAGTGGTTTCTTGATTCCTAAACCTGATTTCTAGACAACATTCCTTAGAGCAGTTGTTATCATCGTGGAAATCAGAAATATTTAATACAAACCCTAATCATTGCATTTGTGGTGTTCATCTCTTATCCTCTCATTTGTCTTCCTTGGTATTTACTGAATATCTTCTTCTTACACAAAAAATCTTACCCAGAATATATATATCTGCGTTTGTCACACTCGACATATATGTATCTCCTGCAACAAATTATTGAGTTGAATGAATATCCAAGGCCTTTGACATCAATTTCTTCTTTCGGTTGCCAAAGGTACATTAGGCTGATTTAGAACAATTAATAACTCTCTTGTTCTTGGTATAAACAAAATTTGATATTGAATTCTCCTGCAACACCTTGTGCTTTCTTTTACAGCTATCCAATGTCTGGGTTATGATGATCATGTGGCTGTATTGCAGTTCCCAAATGGATGATACCACTAAGAGGAAAAAGTAAAGGAGATGGACACTGTATGCACCAGCTTTCTGAAACATGCACTTTCTTTTGTTGGATTTTTTAAAAGGAATCATAATATGTCCAACCCAAAACTCAAGTTATTTAGGAAGTAAAGGCAAATGTGCTTGACAAGAGCAATTTTTTTTCTTTCTTTTAGAATTTTTTCATTTTATTGATTATACAATAATTGAACACGAATTGAAATATAATTTTATAATAATAATACACATAATATAATTTTCTAATGAGAACATATGAGAAATACAGTTCACAACTCAAACTCACACTCTCGTAGGAAAAGCAGAAGTATCCAATATCAGGTCAAAAAATAATTGCTTGACAAGAGTACTTTTAGGTTAAGATTTCCTTGAAAGCCACAAAACATAGTGGAGGAATATATATCAACATAAGAAAACAAAGTATTGAATAGAAATTGGATTAGACAAGAGTGGTCAGGTATGTGTTGTCTATTGACAATACTTTAGGTTTCCCAATTTTTTATGCAACCCCAGATTCTCTTTATATGTCTCTTGGTGTTGTGTCTTTTAGTAACATAAACCTGAGATGCCCATATGATGCCCAGTTCAATAAGTGAAAGAGAATGGATATAATATATGAAATTCAAAATCATAAATTAAATATTACTTTCTTTATGTTACAAAAAGAAGCTGAAATTTCATATCATATGAAATTTTTCCATCACACATGCCCCACTTCAAAATACTTGATTTGTAAAGTAGAATAAAGAAAGTTTTTCACAAAGAGGACTTGGGAAAATCATCAAATCTTTCACCTTTTATTTCATGTTGTAACATCCTAACGGGAAGATTGGGTGAAGTTTCGACTTCTCGAGGCTCCTGTATGCAGTCTCAGAGACACTAACTGCTTTCTGACTCTTGCAGCCCAATAATCCAGCAGACCGGCTTGTCTGCAACTCATTGTGTACCATGGACTTGGTTTTGGCACCGTAGGTTTTAACATTGACTGCTTTCTTTTCATCGTAATTTGAAGCAACTGAGAAATCGGCTGCACTGGCTGTGACGACACTCCATTCAATGCTAGCTTCACTTGGCTCGTACAACGTTGATTGAGGTACAGACCCAGATATATTATCTATCTCAAAGAGATCAGAGCTGGCATCACTCTCTATATCTTCACCCTTTTTGCTGCTCATGGAAGTAATTGACATGGTTGGGGCATTTGGTATAGCATCCCAAGTTAGCATGGAAAGTTTCTTCTCAAGATTCATTGCTATGTCTCCCTTATTCATGGAGTTAGGATTTAACACCTTCGCAGATTTCCATGCCTGTTCTTTGATTTTGTGATTTTGATCTGTTGGCTTCTTGATCTTGAGATGTTGGACATCAGACTTCTTGATTTGCAGTGCAAAGTACTCTTCTCTGTTTGGTCCAATATTCACCTTTTGAGATCTTGGACAATTAGGCTCATGTTTAACCTGAAATCTTGGCTTTGACTGTTTGCTACCATCCAAAACAATGTGATTTTGGTCCAACTGAGCTCTGCCATGAACCCTTTTGTTCTTATCAGCATCGTGATTCAAGCAAACAGATTTCTCATCTGTACAAGATCCATTGCAGCTAAGACCAGCTAAGAAGCTTCTTCCCTTCACCTTCTTTGTCTTGTTTAAAGACTCTTTCCTAGTTAACAAAGCAGTTTGGCTGTTCCAACTGGATTCAGAAGCTATGCTTGGAGTTCCAGGCCTGCTTCTTATCGGTTTCATCTGATCAACCTGGTTTTCTTTCGTACCAAAATTGAAATCCTTTCCCGGACCCTCTTCATCTAATCTCATGTTGAAGTACTTTTCAGCACCAAACACACTGATTTCAGCCTCTTGATTACTTCTCCCAAAGCTTCTTGCACCCGGGTTTTCGTGGACTGAATAGGATTTCTGAATGGAGTCTGCAAGCTTATGTGGCAAGACATCTTCTGCTGAGTTGAGGTAAGAAGAAAAAGAGATATCACCAAGATTGGTGTTGTTCTTCTGGGCATCCATGCTTTTAGGTTTTTTTAAGAGAAGAAAGATGAAAAGAATACTTGGTGTGATCTTGAAAAGCTACTGGTAATCTATATAGGCAGAGTTGTGAGAGGGTCCTACATGCTTTACTTCCTCAATATACAAGTATGCCTTGTAGTTTTCATTCTTTAACTAATTATATTCCTATCTTAACTACTTACTTTATGCTCAATATTAATGCTTGATCAATCAAAGGATCTACTTGCTCTATGGACAATGTAGGGACAAGTGGCTAGCAGAAAAATTTTATAATCTCTGCCAACCATTTCATCAGAATTAAAATCAACAGTAATCAGAACATCAATTGGCTGCCAACAAGTTCATCAAAGCCAAATATATATACATACATTATAAAAAAAAATAAAAAATAAAAAGAAAGCTCTCATTTGTCATGCAAGGCATACCCATCTCAAATCAGAATGTTTATTATTTTAGGTAATTTTAGTTTGATATTCTATGATTTAGTGTATTTCAAATATATTATATTTAGTTTATTTTTAATCGTTTCAGTACTCGTAATTTAGCAATTAATTAGGTATTAGTTCGATACTCTATAATCAGGAACTTGTCTTGCTTGGCCCTTGAAACATTCTTGTTCAGCAAGAATTTAAATTTTTTTTTTAAAAAAAAACACTCTTCCAAGCATACCTGAGATTTTGATAAGAACAGATATGTTATTTTTGCCAAAAGGCCGAGAAATGTATAAGTATATTTGGAATTGGTTACAATGTCGGCGAGGCTGGAAAATAATCTCATATGCTCCAATTGGAAGGCCATACACAGCTTAAACAATTAAATAATAGGTAGGTCTAACTGGTACCTTCAAAGTATTCATCCTGCATGCCAAACATCCTCCTTCCCCCTTAACATTTTCATGTATTTCTTTAAACCATAAGACTATAAAAATACAATGATAAGCCAATAAAAGGAGAAACTCCCAAAATTTTTTACTCCACATCCACTCATTGAAGCCAAAATTGCATTCCTTACAGACCAAGGACTGAAATTAATTAGGGAACATATGAGGCAGGAAAAGAATAAAATGGTCAAAGGAAAATGATCATAGATCACATGGGGATTTTAAAAGGAAATAACTTATCTATATGGTATATCCACATCAAAAAAACATGAACCAATAATTAACAAATGATTGACAAGCCATATCCAACCTGGCTTACTACTTGCTGAGACACCTATGGTTGCTATAATTTGGTTCTTTGGATTTAATCAGAAAAAGAAGAGTAGACTTTCTGATGAATGTTTGAATTTCTATGTCTTGTCTGTTTCACTCTAAAGATGTCGAATTACTTTCTCCTGCAACCCAATACCTTTTTACGGCAAAGAGTATCTTCTCTGAAACAAGAGGCCCATTTTCATGATCCACCATTTTGGTGTTCCACCTCATCCCTCCCACAATTCTTTTTACCTTGTTTAGCACATTCATTTCGTCTCGAAATATGACTGCTCCTTCAGGCCGTAAAATACGATCCATCTCCAAAAGTATATCTTCCGCACTGCACCTGTGATATTTTACATCAAAATTTTAAGAAATCCAATTAGTTTTGGTTGGAAAAAGAAGAGTTACACTTGCAAGATCAATGTCTAAGCGTAGACGTGTCCTGTTCGGAGCACATGTCCTGCCAGTTTGAGTACTACTTGCTCAACTAAACTTCAATTCTCATGAATATAATGTAACCCACTTAAAAATGACAGTCTAATCTACATTGGAGAAGGGTAAGATGTCTCGTTGACATAGACTTACTTATTTTTATACAAGCTGAATAACCCATTTGCATGAATGAGGTCGTAAGTTCGAGGATAAGTCGAGAATGCTTCACACCTGGCCAAAAGAGAGAAATATAAAATGAAGACGATTCACATGATTAATAAAGCATGAAAGTTAAAGACACTGAACTTTTGTCTTTCTCTTTGGTTGAGTTAAGATATGCAGAAGGAAGAAAAAAAATGGCTCCGATTTTCTCCACCTTGTCTTCTTTTATGAGTTAAGACCATAGCAGGCTATTAACAGACCGTTAGAAAAGTTGGACTGCCAAAAGAATGTAATTAGCAGCTCATTACCACTGGTAGGTGCAAAGGCCATAATCACGTGGCATTACAACATCAGAAAGGGATTACAGTGGTCACTGAAGTATGCATACAAAAGTATGAAGCTACCATATGCTTATATATATAAGAAGTAAACCTCTCTTTAGGTCACTGCAGACCAAGTTAGCCAGGTTTTTCTCAAAGACGAGTTTATAATCCTTTTTAATCCCTTTGATTACTTTCTTCCCTTGGTCAAAGCACATAAGTTTATCCAAAGAAAACAAAAAATAAGAGATAGATATTGGTAGAAGATAGAAATTATATGATGAACTTCAATGTGGTTATATTTACTAGAGGTAGATGCAGAGAACAAAAAACAATTGGTTATAACATGATAGTTAAAAATGACATATGCTCATCAAGTTTTTACCCTTCAAAAAATATAAGATATAACGTTGCTCATAAAATTCAGAAAACACAGAAGAAGAGAAAGCTTCAAAAAGCATCCAATATAAAGGCAATGCTATATGTCACCCTGCACCTATGACTTAATTTCTAAGAGATAGTTACTTGACAGCTGATAGGAGACAGTCATCAAGATCAAAAAGTTAAACCAGCCATTTAAGTGGTGCTAATACGCAAACCTAGAATCCAGTTGAAGATTTCATATGCAGAGAAATGACATAGAAAAGTTTATGTTCCAGAATTTACCAATCATGATATATGCCAATCAATCCGCGCTCGTATATAACACCAAGTGTGTCTGTCTCAGCTATTGTCGGCATAACATTCATAACCCACAATTTGGGAGATTCAAGGGCAGCTGCAAAATTTCCCAGACCAGCATTCATATCCAGGATGTTCCGATACCTTCCTGAATCAATAAGTTTGTTGACTCTCTTGTAAGCATTCACGTGCCTCTTCCATGACTGGTTATCCTGCTGGTATGTCTCAATGGATACTCCAGGGATAGATCCACTGGATATTCTGAAAGGAACAGCATTTAGTCTCTCAGGAAATGGTTTCCATGTTCCTCCAGCAAATTCATCTGCCTTAGTAGTCTCAGGATAAGCAGTAACGCATGCTTCCATCTTCTTGTACCTATGCAACAGAGGAAGACAGACATTAAGAACAATTAAAGCTGCTGTAAAACATGCATTTCTATCATTCAGGATAATCGGAACTCTCTTCCAAGCTAGAAAACCCCCGAATGTTTGAATCATTGATCATAAAAATGTTCACCATTTGAAACCCATTGGATTTGTTTACAGCCATATATCAGTTCTTACATTGCAAAACCCATCTCATTGATTATACATGACTTACAACGAAATTTTATGAATTTGAAACCAAAAGGACACTGACAAACAAAACTTCGAAATTCTACTCTAGGGAATCTTTGTCTTGATACCACAAGTGTTGACCAATGAGTTCTCCTTTGAACAAAAGCTGCGGCACTCCTGACATTCAGCACATGTTTCCACATTGAATATATAAAACTTGTTTTAGTTGTCAAGTTGTTACAGGAGAATAATAATCCTTTTTTCATGGAACATGTAATTCAGTGTCATTAGCAACTGTTTTGTGTATAATGAGTTGTTAGGTAGTTGTTGACTTGTTACACAATTCTACCTATGTTCTTTTTGTATATGAAAAGAACTGAATGAATGAATGAATTGCTCATTTTTACAGCACCTTCTCCTTCTTTCTTCTCTGTATTTTCCTCTCCAATTTCTTAACTTCTTACTTAATCTTTTCGCAAGCCTCAATAGTAAGAACTCCCGTGCAAGCTTGTGAAGTATAGAACGAAAGTAGTTAGCATATGAATACTATCCAAAACTTGTAACATAGTTTGTTTTACTTTTATTTTGAAAAACAAATATTTTGTTTTACTTCAGTAGAAGTAGGCTGCACCAAACTTGCCGAAGGTACCCAAAAAAAAAAAAAGAATAATCCATAATAAGTAAAAAATGTTTTGAAAGTATACCAGACATCATCTGCATTTTTGGATTGACACATTTTACGTCTCACATTTTGCTGATGACAGTGATCATAGTTTACTCTTTTCCTCCAGATGGCAATTTCACCCATCTCATGCTTCTTTTCCCAGCAAAGAAGATTGGCAATCTCTTCAATCTTCCTCTGCTCCTCCTCAAGTTCTTCTTTAGGGCGGCTCCATGCTTGGAAATTAGTCCTCCAGTTAATTGGGGGACCAGAAAGCACCCAATAACCACCAGGTCTAAGAACTCGATCGACTTCCATCATGTACATTCCATCTACAGAAATATTTTCATTTCCAAACAACTTCCAAAATAAGAATGCAGTTGAACAACAGTTGACTCCAAATAAAAGAAATCAAAAAGAAAACCATGACATTTGCCATAAATCTGCTAACCATATGCTACATAAGCTTGCACCTAAATGTTTTGACTTTTCTTGGTCAGCCTAATCTCCAAAACATGTTGAACCATGATGCAAAATTAGAGAAGTAAACTTGTTTCCGAGGTCAAATTTTATTTCAGGGTGAATTATACTTAACACAATCCATTAACACATTTACCACTAATTGCACTTGACAAGCCACAATCAAATGTTATCTCAAAATGATCCTTACCGTTTTCACCCCATGGAATCAAGCAACGAGAACAATGAGACATGTCAAAGGCTCTAGAAGGATATGGAAGCTTTATGGTTCCAAGGACACCAATAACACCTGGAACACCTCTTTCTAAAGCAAACTGAACTTGTGCTTCATGAGAGTCTCTTGGTGCAAATGACATTCCTATCACATTTTTCTTGAACAGGTATGCGCCAAAGCTAGCAACCTAATCATAAGTAGATAACGAGCAACCTAATTACGAAATGATTTGAGAATAAAATGAAGAAGTGAAATTTTATTAAAGCATCATTAAAGCAGTTGAAAAGATACAGAGTAACCACTTGAAGAAACTAAGACTATGTCTAGAACAACTAAACCATTTTCCTGACTTATTTGGAAATTTAAATTTAGTTCAACTATGAGAAGATAAAGTTTCAATCCAAAACAACGAAAATTTTCTGACAGAATTTCAATTGAAACTGAAACAATACATTTCAAATTCCATGAAAATAACTAATTTGTTCCAAACATAGCCTAAAGATAAGATAATGGAGAGATATGGTACTCTAAAGAGAGAACAGATCATGCTCTGGTATGTTCGAAAGCCCTGATGCCATGACCCAGGTACATGGTTCTGACTAAAGAAAGTATGTATTCAGGTTTGAGGGAAAGAAGGGGAGAGTGAGAGGAGAAATAGAAGGATTTGAGAAAGATAGAGTAAGAATACCAAGAGAAATAGATAGAAATCAAAGAGGAAAGATAGATATTGAGAGAGATAGATAGAAATTTGAGGAAGATAGTGAAAATGTATTTAAAATATTTCATTCTTTGATTCCTTACATATATGAAGATAGGTGATTTATATGGAAAGAAAAGATACATGGACAAGTAAATAAATAATCAATCTTTTATGGAAGCCCAAAGGATTGTAAAGAAAACTTTTAAATTCATTGAATGGAGATGGAAGAGGAAGTAGCTGGTTAACTAAGAGTTTTGAGAGAAGTAAAGATCCCTCGAGTTTGGATTTCCTGCAGACATTTTCATAGTTCTCTGTTTGCACCCCTGCAGTCTTGTACTTCCTAACTTATTATTCTCTGTTTGCATTTGGATCCTTACACCTGAATTGAATTATGTGTCCCTGTAACTTGGAACCAGAGAGCTTCTAGTCTATGCTTCCTTTATTATCTATCTTAATTGAATGTTTGGGCTCGTAGAAGAACCTAAAATCTCCTAGAGTTTCAAGTATTCTTGAAGCTCATGAATAATTTTCTGCATGAATTTCATTAGCCTTTTTATGGCCTAGAACTTAGGAAAAATGAACTGCTAATAGGGTCATAACTACCCCAATAAAATATTGGATCCTGAATTACAAATTCAAACAGATAACTGTTGATTCAAAAATAAAACTACTCTGTAATAATCATAGAACTGTCCAGCAAGATAGTGACACAAAAAAAAACTCAATCAAATATAGAATAAAGAAACATAAACTGAGACACTTAGTTGAAAACTTATCCTGCTTCTTCTTTGACAAACTTGCCTGTGAATGGATTCTTCATGCAATTCTGGGCATTTGCTTGTAACAGGTCCATATTTACAATTTGGATAAAAAAAAAGGAGAACATAAAAGAAAAGTGAAAACCATTTGAACAAATTCAAACTTACCCCGCATCCAGTGTCAAGTGCAGTTCTAACCATGCCATTGTCTAATGGTATCACAGATGCAAGTTGATTAATATAGGCATCTGCACCATGAGGAAATTGTGTTCCTCCACCTGGGAACCTAAACACATTACCCTCATATTGAATCCAGTTTTGAACAGCCTTCTCAACTGTCAAGCTTTTGTAAGGTGCATTTGCATATGGAACATAGTCACGACTCTTTGGCCAGGGAAATGGAGTCGTGTATCCTTGTGGTGCAGGAATAAGGCAATGCAGCTTCTCTTCATCAGGAGGACAATGCCTTTCCCTATAGTTCATATTTTCTCGAGGAAATGTCATTGCCCTCATTTGATCTTGACAAAGTGTGTAATCAATGTACTTATCATCACATGGCTCAAAATCCTTCTGTACTGACTGCGAATCATCAATCCCAGAACCATCTTCACGAGGGGTCTCATAATTAAGATTCGAGACAATACTGCAGTCTGTCCGTTTGGTGATCTCTAAGCTATACTATCGCCTTTTCCAAAACCACTTCTTTGCCAAGCACCCAGGATGTAGAGAAACAGCACAAACCA